CTTGGTTACATTTGGAAGAGAAAAATTCCTTGAAGATTTTTTTTTCTCTGGCAAGTTTTTAATAACAAGCTTCAAGTTGGTCAGAGTCTGATTAAAAGAGGGTGGAAAGGATCTAGCAAGTGTTGCCTTTGTAATTGCCCAGGAACAGTCGATCAAATCCTGTTTAAGCCCATGAAAGAAATGCAGCCCAACTAGCCCATTATAGAAACCCTAGTATATAAACACCCCACTCCACATCCCCAACAAGCCGTCAACCCACCTCCTGTCAACCGTTGCATCTTTCGTCCGGCGAGGTACCAAATTTCAATGCTGCTTGGCCACCACAACATGAATACACTAGGTCACCAGCTCGGAGAGATTCGTCTGTGGTCTGGCCTCCACGACTCTTTCTCCTCCATCGACTCGCCTGCGGCCTCGCAGGGCGGCAAGAAGGGCGAGGTTCAATCCCTAATAGGGAAGTGTGGTGGCATCGGCCTTCTAGCGGGCCCGAGGAGCGAAAACTCCAGCGGGCGCATCCCGACGCAGCCTTTAGAAGATGATCCGCCGTGGAGGTTGAGAGCAATCGTGCAAAGAGCGCCACCCAAAAATCTTATGCGTCCTCTTCCGGTGCAGGATCGCAAGGACGAGGGTTCCGAAGACCTTCTCTTCCGAACGCTGGTGCATGAAAACGCTAGAATGGGCAAGCTTCCGAACGCCGGTGCACACACAGACGCTGGAATGGACAAGTTATGATGGCAACTGCATCAGCGAGAAGAGAAAAATACTAATTGACTACCTTATGATTTTCATTCATAACTAGAAACTCCCAATAGTAGTTCCTGATTTGTCTTTCCCAGGAGGATTGGTATAGGGAGGAAAACCCCTGCCTCCACCTCAACTAGCAATGGGCTTAAGAAAAAACATGGGAGTGTCGCTGAAAAAAACAAGCCGAAACATTGTTCTGGCTGATTTGTTGTGAGAGGAAAAACACTGTTCCGGCTGAAAAAACAAGCTGAAAAAAACGGATTATAAGATAAGCGAATAGGGCCTAAACCATATTAAATTCTAACATGCTAGCTTGGCTTATATTAATTACCTCCGCATGTAAATACTGGTGCCAAGCAACACGGAGTCGAGGACCGTAGCGACGATGAGGGGGGACATGGGAGTGTAGATGGCCCATTTCGGCTGATGGCCCATGAGTACGAACGTGACGCCTGTATTATTCATCACACTCGATCTGGAAGTCTGAAGTCTGAACGTACGTACGTATGTACTGTATTAATGTATGTACGTATGGAAGACACAAAGGACATGGGAGTAACAACTTTTTTTCCTAGCTTGCATTGTTACCCACCGATCGGGTAGATAACGGTTAGGAGCTGAAGTTCCCGGCCACTTGATCAGCATCCATTATTCTGCAAGGTCGTCATGGCTGACGCACATGCACACAACAAAGGACTGATGCATGCTTCCTACCAGGCAGATCAGCATCAAGAAGCTGACGAGTCGGTGACCCATGCTGCTGCTGTGGTGACCCATGTAAGATGGTTCGGTTACAGACAGAAAGAGCGTGCACAGAAGCTGACGAGTCCAGTACTACTGAGCCTCAGTGTCACTATAAATATGCTGCATCGGAGCCGCATCTCATCTTCATATCTCCTCACACTGCTAGTGCTAGACCATCTGAGTAACATCATGCTCTTTCTCCTTTGAAGCCCGATGGCAATTGCCATCCACATCCATAAGATTCATCATCGGCCGGAGCGCCGCCCTAGCGGCCCGGCATCACCAGTCTTGTTAATCGGGACGGTGATCCAATCCCACCACAACTAACTGTGTCCTACATATTCACTGCTACTTCCATCATGGCCTAATCCGCATCGAGTCCTGGTCCAAGACCTACATGCATCACCCCTATGTCTTTATCAGTCTTGGAGCGCTGGAGCTCTTCGAGCACAAAGATGAGCGACGGCCCAGACATGTTCCCACTTCCCATACTCGGCTAGCACTCTACGGCTTGCCGTGAGTTTGCCGGGCCTCAACTCGAGCGCTTCCTCGATGCTGTCTAGCATGGCGCGTCCATCTAGATGCACTGCTCAGAAGAGGTCGTTCCAATGCATATAGAACGAGCTCTTCTGGACAGTGCATCCAGGTGGGCACTGTCATGAAAGACAAGATCCATAGATTATCGTTCCAATGCATATAGAACGAGCTCTTCTGGACGTGCATCCAGGTGGGCACTGTCATGAAAGACAAGATCCATAGATTACGTATGTACTCCGATCCCTCCGTTTATTTATCTCCGTCGCATTTGACTCGGGCACGGTGACCAATATCGTGATCCAAGCAGTCCCGATTGACAATAAATCCGGAGATCTGTTTTAACTGGGCCGGCATCGGTTGATTTACTGATAAATCTGCCGCTAACTGCGCTCCAAACGTCGTTACCGCGCTAACAGCGCGCATTTCCGTCTTTCCGGCGCGCGTTTCCTGCTTTCCCTTCTCACCGCGCCCTCCATCGGCCACACATCTGTTTCTTTCTCTGTCTTCTTCCGTTAGCCCGCCCGCCTACTATGCAAAAATTGGCCTCCATGCCTCCAAATTTTCCCTGCTGCATGCAAATTTTGAAGCCAAAATTCTTTTGCCGCCGTTGTCTTTCTTTTTCTTCGGTGTGCCATGCATGTTCTATATAAAGCCGGTCATGGCTGGCATCCTTCCTCCATCTCTCTCTGTCCCCGATTTAGAGATCGACCAAAACCAACACCATGTATAAAAAGCACATCGAAATTCATAAAGAGATTGAATATTTTTCTCAAATTAAAAGTGATGGAATAGAGAAAGGTTGTACATCTACATGCATGTATGCGCGTGTCGTGGGATCTCGGACGGAGGAGGTCCAAAAGACATAGAAAAAAAATCAAGAAGGAAAGAGAAGAGCCCACTCCCTAATCCTCTACTGGTGGGCTGACCTGACGACAATCCCCGGCTGCTGAGCACGTGCTTGTTTCACTACAGTAGTTAGTAGTATGCAAGGAAATCAGAAGCCGTAACAGAGAAATCTCAAGTTGCACAACATCCACATGACCCCCGTGGGCCAGTGGTGGGCCTAGCGCCTGCCGGGCCACATCACCTCGCCTCCATGCGAGCACGGCAGCAGCAGCGCCGAAGGCCGAACCCGACCGCCATGCCGCCACGACCCTGGTCACGGCCGGCCCACGCCTCCAAAGGGCTTAAATAAACCCGGTTTAAAAATGCTTAAAAATGGGACATCAACTAGTACAATTCCTCCATACAACTTGTAGCAAGAGAAGAGGAAATAAATCTAATCTCAAAGAAACCAATTTTCCTTTTATACTATTGTGGTAGCTCCTTAGAACTAGGTGACATGTGTTTTTGAGCTGTGCTGTGCATTAAAAAAAAACTGCCTAAGAGAAGGGCATACCCGCCTAGCTCTTCTCCGTGTGTGTGTGTGTGTGTGGGTGGGGGACCGAAACGGTCGGAAACTGTATTACAATACAGAAAAAGAGAACGGTCAGTACGAGATTTTTTCTACATTGTAATAATTAAAGAGTAAAAAAATGGTTGAAAACAGTTGTGAAACCAATTGAAAATGATAATTTTTTATGTTTGGCTAAATTTGAAAACAGTGTCATAATATAGAAAATGGACTTGATTTTTTCCATCCATTTTCATCTCCCACTGTGTTAGCCACTATGTTTGTGTTTGTGGTTTCGCTTTTGTTGCTGTGAGCAGTGGTTTGCTAGTTGATAGAGTTGTCTAAATTACGCCCGGTTTGTTTCCCATAGCAAATCTTTTACTATGCACTTTTAGTCTATTTTTTTGCAAATGGATCCAAACAGGTATGCTAAAAGTGAGCAAAATGGGAGGCTAAAGTTTAGTCCATTTGCACTTCAAAAAGTGCAAAACTGAGCTAAAAACATTTGGGGATGTGAATGACACCTTATTTTGCACTTTTAGCCTATTTTTTGCCATGGATCTAAACACCTAAGCAAGGACTAAAGTTTAGCAGCAAAAGTTTAGGGGCTAAGGTGGTGTTTAAATCCAGGGGTTAAAGTTTAGGGTGTCACATCGGAGTGTTCGGATAGTAATGATAAAATAAATTACAGAAGTCCTCAGTAATCCGCGAGATAAATTTATTAAGCCTAATTAATCTATCATTAGCATATGTTTATTATAGCACTACATTGTCAAATCATGGATTAATTAGACTTAAAAAATTCGTCTCACAAATTAGTCGCAATCTGTGTAATTAGTTATTTTTTAGTCTATATTTAATACTCATGCACTTTTGCCATGGTAAATGGATCCAAACATGCTGTTAGTCTCCGTAGGTGTGATCTCCTTTTGCAAATCTCTCGTGGGGTTAGGTTAGGCGCGAGTCTTTTTCTTTATCATCATCAATACATAATACAATTTGCAGCTATCATTGCTCTGTTCGCTAAGTATTGTTGACTGATTTGTTGTGAGAGAAAAATATTATTCATTGACTAAAAAAGTACGACTTACAAGTGAACAGGACGCATACTCTGGCCGTTTAAAAACTTCACTAAAAAGGGGAAATTAGAGAACCCCTGGATCACAAATATGTCGAAAAAAAACTCTAAATTCAGTAAGGAAAGAGAACCTCTGCTTCAGCCTATTCGTTTAGCTATGGTTTGTTATAAATAATCGTAAATTTCTAGCTAAAATAATACTTTTTTTCGCACAAACCAACCCACGTACTCGCTCAGACCAGGAGCCAAACGAACCAGTCAAACTCTCTATCCCGGTGGCCAACGTGACAGCCGACAAGAATCCCCCGTTGCCTTCTCCACTTCCCCCTTTCCCTGCTCAGCTCAGCTCTGCGCTGCTCCTTCCTTCCCTTCGCCTCCCCAGCCAAGCAAAGCGAAAAAGCACAGCAAAGCAAAGCCGATCCCCACCCCAGTCAGGAATCGCCACCGGCGGAAGCAAGCCAAGCATCACCGCCCTCACTCATCCCCCGGATCACCCACCCGTCCATGGATCCGGCGGCCGAGCCGCCAGCGGCGGCGTGGCCGCCATGGACGTCACTCCTTCTGCGGGCGCTAAGCCGGCGTCGGACCTGGGTAGCGCTCTTCCTCGCCGTGTACGCGGCGCTGCTCTCCTCCTCCTGGTCCCTACTCGCCTCCGTCCGCGCCTGGTACTACTCCGCCTCGGCCTCCTCCGCGGCGCCCACTTGGCCCGCCGCGCTGTACGCCTCGGTCATGTACGGAGCGGTGTTCGGGCTGCTCTCCATGGGGGCGGCGCTGGCCGTGGCCGCGCCCGCCATGCTCGTCACCTGGACCACCGTCCTCGTGCTGCTCGCCTTCGCGGGCCGCCCGCCCCGGTCGCTTGTCGCCGAAGGCCGACGCGCCACCAGGGACATCGCGGGGCTCGCGCTCCGCGTGCTACTACGCGAGGGCAACGCTGTCGCCGCGCTCTGCGCCGCCGCCAGCTTCGCCGCGCTCCTAATCGGCCGCCGCGACGACGACGACGCTTCCTAATCAGTAGCTGTAGCTGTAGCCCGTCCCCCTCTTCTTCTTCTTCTCAAGCTAGATTTCCCCACCTCCACTCGACAGTCCTGTCCTGTCCTTCTCCGTCCGGACGCAGTCGCCTGCGCAAGCCAAGATTGTGATGTGATATGATTTGGGGGCGGGCGTCTCGGCGTGGTGTTTTCCGGTCTCTCTTCTTGTCCTGCGCTGATTTGTTTACTACTCCGCTTACTAGGTGTAAATTAGTATCACACCAAGTTGTTTCAGTTACTCCACAAATTGGACAGTGATGGCATCTGTAATGAATGTAGCTTGTCTTTAGCTCTTGGCCATGAAATTGATTCGGGGGATCATATATACAGTACCGAAATTGGTTCTTGTACCTATGTGCTCAAGTTCAAAAGATTGTTTGGATGACAGAATTGATTTCAAGGCTAACTAAGCTTGCAGAAGGTATACAACATCTATTAGCGCAACAAATCTTTGAGTAGCGCTTTCTTTCAGATGATGTCATCTTTTGGTAGGGAGAATATTGGCCGCTCTGGTGGAAGCCATCTCTACAAAATGGGCATGCATCTGTGAAGGTCCAGTTGGACCCAGCTATTACAGATGAAACTGTAAGTGTTCTTTTCTTCCTTTCTTTCACAGACTCCATGATTTTAATTAGCACAACAAATATTTGATTCGACTAGCACTTTATTCGAAATGATGAGTTGTATCTTTGTGAAATTTCTTAGTTCTTAGCTAATTGTGTGGCTTATCTGTCATGCACAATATTTATCCTCGAAATATTTTATTTAACTTGTATTGTTGTGTTACTATCTGAGTTGTGCCTCGAAATTGTGAAATGGCAGTTCCCTTAGAGTTGTCAGTCACTGTACAATTATGATGCATGCCCATTACTACTTCATTTAGCTTGGAAACAAAATTAGGAGGGGCCAACACAATGACAATGGTGACAAATTTGAAGACTGATCAAGACAATGACATAAACATTCCGACTTTACATATAGGGTTATTCTCAATCTTTTTATGGGCTCAACCGTAAATAGAAAATGTGTGAGCTCCCCTTTGTTACGAGTACCATCATAAAGCCCCTGCCCAGGATATTGAATGAAGATTCTTCATATGCTGATTTGGTGGGGAAAAGCATGTTAAATTGGCTTGATGCAACCATCTCTTGTCCGTCATCCAGCCTCCAACCTGAGGAAAGTACCAGTGCAAGGTAGGCTTCATTGTAATTCTAGGTAGATAACTCTGGTATAATATTGCCTTTACTATGTGTTTGAGAAAAAAATGCCTTTGCAGTCATGTAATATGATCTATTACTTTGTCAGGTATTGAGGACTTTATGCAAGTGGCACTGGCATGTTTCCCATTGAGCATAACTGGAAGAATTTAAACAGATGAGTGAGAGATCAGTGATGCAGAAAGATCATTAGTGTTGGCTCTCTTCAGAAATGCCAGATTTTCTAATGGCGCAGCTTTGTCATTGTCCAGTACTGAAACTCTGATATTTAAGTATTTTTAGTCACCTGTTTTACTAGTGGAAGAAATGACAGATGGCATAAATGATTCAGTAAAGATGACTGACCAAGGGTTCAGTTAGTGGACTGTATTTGATTCTTGTCTCCTCACAAGTCACAGCCAATATTTCACGTACAGTTTACCGCTCTATTTCCCAGCCCTTCTGTCAATTTTCATTGGTCAAAGATTCTTCTTTGGGAGAGAATTGCTCATCTGCTCAATATGACACAAGCCAAAGTGCTGAGTTGATGCCAGATTCAGAGCAGACCTTATGTCTCAGAGATGAACTCTCAGCCTTAATTGAGTCTCCAAATTTCAACTCCTGAAAACAGAGCTGACAGCATGAGATAAGGTATAGTATATTTACATCTTTTTAAATTCAGAAGCTGTTTTCCTTGTCTTATGCGTAATGGTTCTTTGGTGTTTTCTCATAGAGGTTGACGTCTTAGTTACATGAGAATTGTTGTTGTCACACCTGCAATCACTACCATCATCTTCCATTATTAGGGAAATTGTAGTTATCAATATATATACAAGAGAAGGTCAGCCCATGCATATTGGATTGCATTTTTCAAAACATCCTAGTACGAAAAATGCCGCACCTAGTGGGGAGAAAAAGGATGCTGAAATACCCTGTGAAAGCATTTCTCATAGAGGTTGATGTCTGAATGTTTATCTATTCAGCACTTGTTTTACTAGTATTCAGTCATGTGTTGCGATATAAGATGAGAAAGAGAGAGCAGAGTAATGGGTGGATTAGCCAATGTATGGCTTTTATGGTCTCCTGTAATCATTTTTAATTAATTAATTTTAGCAAACAAGTGATTATACTAGTTATAGTTGTACTATGTATCCTCTGAAATACCCTGTGAAAGCAATATGATCAAGCCTGTCCATATATCCTTTTAAATTGCAATATGTAAATTTATTTAGTTAGTGTAATGTCAATACTTTTCTCATGCTATTATTGCTTCCATTTTAAATACAACTAGCTCCTGAACTGAAATATAATTCGTCCCAAATGTATGGATTGCTATGTGTTATAAGATGCACACTGAAAACTACAATAATGTACTGTTTTGAAAAACCACATTTGGTCATCTCTTTATGTTTTGCTAAATCTTGTTTGTATTTCAGCCATTGGACAAGTTGTAAGCAAAGAAACTGATGATACAATCATGCCAATGAAGAAGCGCAAGTTGAATATTAGAATAGATTGGCGATACAAGCAAATTACGTGGTTGTAAAGTCTTTCAGTTTACTTATCTATTATATGAAATGAAACTTGTAGCTATATGCTTCAGTAATAGCTATATCGATCAGGCACACTGACCTGAGATTGAGAAAAGGGCATGGTTTCTTGGTTCATATAGTTTCAGAGAACACAACAACTCTTCAGGTTTTCGGTGGATTTGTTGTATTGGCCATACAGTTTCAGCACTCACACTTATCTAGTTATCATCTTTATCTCTGTTGTTGTTTGCATGGAGTTACAGTTTATCATACAAACCAATGTGGTCTTAAGTTGTTGAAAAAAACAGTACTAGCAAAGCTTTGAATTTCTTGTACATGAGTTTTTTTTTTCCTTTGAAGAGGTCTGCACGTTCCACTTACATTTGCTTTTTCTTGCATTGGCATCGGCGTTGCACCGTTGTTCTGCATTAGATATGGTATTCCCAGACTCCCAGTGACCATCCGCCACCACTACAGAGCTACCCATACCCACTAATTATTATTCCCCCCATTCCAAATTATAAAATGTTTTGGCTTTTCTACATTTATAATCTTTACTATGCATTTAGATATATATTATATCTAGATACATAGTAAAAGCTATGAATTTAGAAATGCCAAAATAGCTTATAATTTATGATAGAGGAAGTACCCATTACTCATTGGATATGCATAATTAAAACACATTGGATAGGGATATAATTAAAATTTGAATGGGTTGGATACGGATAATTAAAACGTGGACAAACGGTAATGCTCTCAATGCTCGCTTGCTGGGTTTGTGGATCAGCCCGGGCGATCAGCCTGTCTTCTTTGCTTCGGTGCAGTTGCTCTCCCAAATCTCTCTACTATGCATCAGCCATTCAGAATATTCCCCACTCAGCTCTGACCGTCGTGGCCGCCACCGCACCATCCACCTGCCGCAGCCGCCTTCCACCAGCCGGCGAGCCTCCACGACGGATGCTCCTTCAAGCAAGTGATGGGAGGAGCTTCTTGTGACGCCGCCCCGCCGGCGAGTTGCCCGCGTCGCTGCCGCATCGGTGAGCTCTGCGCCGTCACCGACCTCCACGCCGTTGTCGAGCTCTGCAACGACGAGTCTTCATTTGTCCAAGCAGCAAGGTGACATTGCGCTGAAATCGCATGTTGCCAGCGTATGTTTCAACTGTTTTAGATGTTTTGGAGGTTAGGTATGTTGCAAGTGTTTTATATCGATGTTTCAAAAGTAGATCAAGATGTTGCACATGTTGCAATGGCTAAACATGTAGGTTTCAAGTGTATATTTTCAAATGTTTCATTTGTTTTAAGATGTATGTTGTAAGTGTTTCATCTGGATGTTGCAAAAGTAGATCTGAATGTTGCATATATAAGCATGTTGCAATGGTATGTTCTAAGTGTTTTCGGTGTTTCATATGTATGTTGTATATGTTTGCAATGGCTACATGTGTTTTCATGTTTTTTTTATGTTTTTTTCAAGTGTTTCAGACGTATGTTGCAATTGTTTTATTAGTTTTGGACCTATGTTACATGTGTTTCATTTGAATGTTGCAAAAGTAGACCGGATGTTGCACATAGACGTCAGAGCGACACGAGCCCCGTGTGGGCGCGCAAAACGGGGTGTAGGCGCGGGTACCATCCGATGGATCGATATCCGATCGGACGTCCGGGCGCTAGCACTTGCCTTGGACAAAGCATGGGTGTGCCCAAACTTTGCCCAACGGCATCGCTTGATGTGTGAAAATGCTAAAATACCTGTAGGTTTTTAAAATGACTTGTGTGCAGTTTGCGCTTGCCGTGTATCTGTTGGAATCGTCAGAGAAAAGCACCAAGACATATGTAGTCCGCACGACAAAAACTACAACAGTACTTGGATAACCAACGACAACAGTTAACACAAGGTAGGTACATAAAAAGCAAAGTCACTGCAGCATTTGTCGTCCAATTTAACCCCTAATAAGCACCTCTGAACCTACTTCTGAAAAAGCATGGATAAATTAGAATTAGAATCGATGGGCTCAGCTCAGAGCACAGCCTCGAATTCAGTTCTGAAACTCTTGGACTTGTGCTTGACCATGCGGATCACCGGGCAGCACCTCCACGCCGGTGAAGACAGTCACCGGGATACAGGGACGTCTTACCTCACCAAAGTTAAGAACGAACTTATTGGCAATGCAAAACCTCCCTGGGCCAAGGTTCACCAGGTCGTGCACTAACTGCGACCAGTTCTCCGGCAGCTCAGATTCCTCCTCCCCAAT